CCTACTACCTACTACCTACTACCTACTACCTACTACCTACTACCTACTACCTACTACCTATACTACCTACTACCTACTACCTATACTACCTACTACCTACTACCTACTACCTACTCTACCTACTACCTACTACCTACTACCTACTACCTACTCTACCTACTACCTACTACCTACTACCTACTACCTACTCTACCTACTACCTACTACCTACTACCTACTACCTACTACCTACTACCTACTACCTACTACCTACTACCTACTACCTACTACCTACTACCTACTACCTACTACCTACTACCTACTACCTACTACCTACTACCTACTACCTACTACCTACTACCTACTACCTACTACCTACTACCTACTACCTACTACCTACTACCTACTACCTACTACCTACTACCTACTACCTACTACCTACTACCTACTACCTACTACCTACTACCTACTACTACTACTACTGCTACTACTACTACTACAACAACAACAACTACTACTACGACTACTACGACTACTACGACTACTACGACTACTACGACTACGACTACGACGACGACGACGACGACTACTACATACCACTACGACTACGACTACGACTACTACTACTGCTGCTGCTGCTGCTACTGCTGCTAGTGCTGCTACTACTGCTACTAGTAGTAGTAGTAGTAGTAGTATTACTACTACTACTATTACTACTACTACTACTGCTACTACTACTACTACTACTCCTACTACTACTATGATATTTTTTTTTGATACGGATATTTTTTTTGATCTAGGTTTGCAGCACGAAACCAGTGAGGTCTCACACAGTGGCACCTGGATATTTCTTTTGATGCATATATATTTTTTTTGATGCGTGCTGGATATTTTTTTTTGATGCATTTTTATTTTTTTTGATACGTGTCTCGAACGAGATCCTCATGAATTGCCGGACAAAGCTGCCACAAATAGATGGCTGACGGGAAAAGACTCAAGCCTTTTGCGGTCACATTGCATTTATGATAGGGATGAATCTCCTTGTAAGAGCTAACTTGTTTTTTTGATTGTTTTTGTTTGAAGAGCTGATTTGCTAGGGTTTCATCAATGTGCTGTGGTGTTACAAGCGCCATGGTGGTTACAAAGAAATGCTATGCCTTCCAGACGTCTTAAACAGCAGTATCTTGGATGTGTTTCAAAATGATCCTTATAAGGGGCTTTTGTGTTTCGAAATGATCCTTATCCTCTGTGTTTCAAAATGAGCCTTATCCGGTGTTTCAAAATGATCCGGGTCCCCTTTCATAGTTGGGTTTGTCTGAAAACCGGGTAACCCCTATGGTAGTCGATTATCATCATTTTCCCATTACATGATACTAAGTTAAGTCATTAAGTGGCTATTGTGGGGGTATGACGGTGATTTAACCGGCATACCCCATTTTTTATCCATTTTAAAACTAATCCAGTTGCTTTCACAGACGCGCAACGCTGCTCAGGATGCAATCGCCTGTGTACAGACTGGCTGGTTGTGCCTCGGCCAGGAAAGTCTGGCTTCCAACCCATCAGGTGATTTCCCATTGGGTATGCTTTGTTATTGGTGAATCGTTGCTGAATCGTTGCTTTGTCATGTCATTATTCTGAAGAAATCCATCAAGGTGATGAGACCAACCAATAACAGCAGTGGTTTGGGCACGCTGAAGATACAGCTCATGACCTACAGCTTCGCTGAAGTGTAATGATTTAAACAGTCTCCCACAGCAACAGATCTGTTTTGAGCACTATCATAAGACATCTGTGAGACCGGGAACTCAGGCACCTCTTCCGGTCCAAAGAAGAGCTTCTGAGCTGGCCGATGGAAGAGGCACTTCCTTTCTGGTTTGGACTGCGAATGTGACGAAGCATCCACCATGAAGACGCATATCTAGCCATCCCCGATAATTCGTTGATTTTTCCTGATGGTTGGATTTCCTGATTGGTTTTGTTAAAGGCACATGCTGACAGTTTTTGTTGCAACTCACTGGAATTGACCTCTAAAGTTTGAAATCAACTAGACAGTGTTGGGCGTATCATAATCTGCTGGCGTGGGTTGCATTTCTGAAGATACTAGCTGCAAATGGTCTGAATCAGCGATTGCAGTGCCCAGCTTGTGTAGGTTCATCCAATCTTGTGGTCAAAAAGGTTGATTTGCTTTAATTTAGCAAAAACCTGATGGAGCTACAGGACGGCAGCATGAACTTTTAAGTCATCGGCCAGCTTTCGACGTGCCAACTGTACTCTGGCTCGAGACCACCCACTGCCCTGATAGTGGGGGGGCAGTGTGGTTTGCTGCCCACAGGGTAGCAGTTGTTTTCACCACTGGAAGCGAGATGAAGACAAGGCATTTCTATGTAAATGCATTCTGCATTCGTTGTTGAAATTTGTTGCAGCACGTTCATTGATCAAACGCTTGTACCCTAGCTAGATAGCCAGTGGTATTTTGATTGCTCGCAGCACGGGGCAGACTTCATCAAAGACTGCTGTTGTGTGCAGAAACGACTCTCACATCGTGCCAACCTGTGCCTCATACCTTTCACTGCCTTTTGAAAATGAGCACAATGTTCAACTAGAGGACAGAGCACCCCATCCCAGCTTGCGTTCAAGTTGCGGCCCGTCCGCAGACGCCGGGGCGCCATGGGAAACGTGGGCACACGTTCGCAGTGTTGCTCTGGTAGTCCTATTGGTCCCTTGGCACTGAGTTGGACTTGGTCAAACAGACTTGACATGACTTGACATAAAATGTCTCAAATTCTGTGAAACTCGGACGTCGAGAAAGATGGCAGAGCTTGCAAGGTCTCAACCTTGCCATGGAGCAGGGTGACTTTTTTCTTCCTATGTCACCAGTGTTCTTGAACTTTCACCTTCGCATCATCCGACAATCCGTGCTGGGACATTTGTAGCTTCCCATGACTTGGCTGCTTGACCTGGCAAGGTGACGATGTCAACGACCGAGGGGATGATGTAGGGGCTGACCCAGAAGCTCTAGGAGCTGGTCCTGAGCCGTTCTGTTTCGTGGGTCGTTGTCTCGTTGTCTGGCTCCATCAAAGTATTGCGATTTAAAGACAATCAAGATGTACCGAGTGCATTTGAATCGGAAGGCACGTTGGAGGTCCCTGGGTTATCCTGGGTTCAGAATCTTCCTCCTTGAAACAGTCAAAGCGATTTCAGATTTTCAAGCCGCATATCAGGTGCTTGCAAAATGAAAGAAACCACATTGCACTTGGCTGTGGATAGACAGTCTCTGTGCACATGCGGTGCCATGTGACTACATCTTCTGTGCGGCCAGGAGCTCTTACTGGGAAGTCAAAGACCTCCCTAACCAAACCACAGGACACGGGCCTGAACCGATGCATGCGGTGGAAGCTCCAGGATATGGATTTTGGCGAGAATAGGAAACAATTCTTAGATTTCTTTTTTTTTTGCCATGCTTGATTCAAGGTTGTCAGACCCAATTTTTTTGGTAATTGTCCCTCGAGCTGATCAAGATGCACACAGAAATCACAGATCCAGCCTGCACTGGGACAGATGCAGGTCTGCCACCTGAAAGCATCACCGACACGCAACAGATCCCAACAGATCCCAACAGATCCCAGCCACCAGGACGAGAGGACAATAAACTCCCAGGAATCCTCCAAGGATTTCGATCGGGCTCGGAGACGAGTCCCTTGGCATCGTGTCAAGGTATACTGAAGTAACACTGTGCTATGCCCAAAAATTCTGTGGTCATGCTTTTGCCGTGTTTTGCTCATTGAAATGGCTAAGAAAGGGGGTATCCTCCATTTTCAAACATACCCATGTGAGTATTGCATTTGTACTTCACTGGTACAAAAGCCGTGAGACACTGTAAGATATTGTAAGAAATTGTAAGAAATTGTAAGACTCTTTCTGCAGTGATTTCTGCCGCCCTGAGACACGTACCTGGGTACAAGATGTTCCAAGCAGTGTGAGCTGCTTCATGGTGAAAGTCACGAAGCCCTTGGGTAAGGTGGGACACCGTCTCGGGCACCGGGCTTCATGGAAGGTCAATCCCACCTGAGTGTTGTACTCTTTAGACAATTGATTGGCCAGTCGATGCATCTATAGTCAGCTATAATTTGACTATAACTATAATTTAATCATCTAATATATTCTAATATCATCTATAGGTTGAACTCCAACTAGCCTTTGGTAACATCCAACGGCATAGTTCTGTCCGACCAGGAGAAGACCGCCAAGTTGGGTTTGGACATTGACTATGCAGAGGCACGATCGCCCTGTGCAGTAACTCGTGGGTGTGGTGGAAGGAATCAGAGGCATTGGAGGCTCAAGGCAACGACATGGAGCCAAGATCCCCTCTGTTCGTTGCTAAATAATTGGAAATTCATAGCACCTGCAATGCACCACGATCTGCCACATTTGCCAGGAGAGCACCGCTCTCCCTGTGGTGGATGTGAATGGTGGCTTGGTTGGCCAGTGGAACGACGACAATCCCATGAAGCTTGTAAGGAGCCTTCTTTGGGGCGACAAAATCCAGACAGTTTTTAAAGCCAAGGACATGTGTGCCGACACCGTCACAAGTTTTGCTGCTGCCGGAACCTCTTTCTTCTGTTGTTGTGGGAATCATGCATGAGGTAAGCAGGATCAGCAGGCTTTTCCAACGCACGTGTTCAAAAATTCACAGACCGTTGCTTTATACATGGCTAAATCATTCATCCAGGAGCGGTGACTGCATCGTGGCAGGGGCCCCAGTGGCTGAGGCACTCAGATACAAGGAAAATGATGAAGGAGTCTGACTTGGTGCTGCACTGCTGCACCAGAAGCGATTGTGAAACATTTAGGCTGCGAGCTCTGCAGGATTTGAATTTCTGGCTGCTCCGGAGAGGGCACATGTATCGACATGATCATCTGAGATATCTGCATGTGTTTAGCATTGTTTAGCTAGATGTACCCCATGAAACCCTGCGCCAGACATAATGCCATTGCACTAAAACATCACCAGTGTCAACCTGAGCCAAACCCTTCCGCAGCACTTTGTGTGCGACGGGGAAGCTTGTAGCAATTCCAGCGGTTCAAAGACTTCACATGTAGTGACCAAGGCTGTGAATGGCATCCAAAAGGATGTACCAAATATGCTGAAAAGCCTCACCAACGTGGGCCAGCTAGAGCTCCTGGTCGTGAAAGGCAGGGCAGGGGATGATGCGGGCTGACGTTTTTGTCGCGCACAGCCTGAAATAGGTGAGGCTGGAGTCGTGGGAATGGTTTGCGTAGCGACTGGTGTGAAAGGTGCGAAACAGGCAGCAACTCAATACGAATTCAGTGTCCCGTTTTGATACAGGTGACCCCGGTCTGGTCTGGGATGTCTACATTTGATCATGTTTGACCCTTGTCCCTTGTCCGAGTCCTAACACTTGTGATGTCCCGTCCACAGACTTTCGCTAGCCAGGGACCACCAGTGAGCAGGGCTCTCAGTGAAGTAGTGGAGAGGCAGCGGCCGCAATGCCACTATATGCTCCATGTTCATGCATTTCTCAAGATTTTTGGATCACATCGACCGTCGACCTGATGCACAATATTGTATTTGTGGGCCTTATGAGGATCTGTCCCCAGTTCTGGATCCTTTTGATTGCTCTCTGATATGAATACTATTTCAGCGAAGCAATTTGGGAAATCGACACCCAAGATTCACGCTCCACGAAGCAACATCACAAATCACATTTCCATTCCTCGTGATCATGAACATGCAGAACTTTGAAATCTACTGTAGTTACGCATCACTGTAGTTGGCTTCCAGTAATCCACACAAATGCACGTGCCGCGCCAGCCATCACCCTATCCCTAGCAAAGCTGAGGATTGGTACGGAGCCTGTTGCCTCTGGGCTACTAGCAGCTGAGGGCTACTACCAGCAGGTGCCATTCATGTGGATTCTCTTTGGGGATGCAGCTCTGCAACGAGTGTCTTATTGTCTTTGACGATGACGATGACGTCGATGACGCCGATGACGCCGATGATAATGATGATGATGATGATGATGATGATGATGATGATGATGATGATGATGATTCTTGTTCTTCCTCTTATTGTGCTATTGCATGTTATTGCTGTTGCTCTTGGAATACATTTTGCAAGCAGTGATTGATGTTTCAACGAATCTCCTTGCGTCTAGTCGCCCAGTTCGGGAATCACTCCCTTGCGCGGTGGCATCTGAAAAACAGCAGGTTGAATCGCAGCAAATGGTTGCGGCAGCCAATGACAAAGAGGCTGGACAAAGTGATGGAGTACCCCAAACCGATCATGTCTTTCTTGTCGTCAATTTGGTGGCATGAAAAGGGCAGCATTAACTACCATCCCCTGGCTTCACTGCCAAACCATGCAACGCTTCTCAGATAGTGGCGCTGCTTGATCTGCTTGCTTTTGGCTTCATTAAGCTTCTTAGGTGGCTCCTCAACTTCCTGTACCGGGTGCACCTCAAACAGCCCGGGGCACCAAGCTGTTCGTTAGAAGATGGCTTGAAGCGTGTCACACGGGATTCTTGTTGGCCTCCCAGTGGATTAACCAGCCTAGCTTGGAAATGTTTGAAACACATTGGACAATGACGACGTTTGTCATCATTTGGCAAAGTCTTTGAGTCATAAATGTTTCTTTGGCATCCTTGAACGGGCGGCTGCACAGCTGGATCTTCCCAAAACATCGGATCATGTTGTCTTGATTCCAGAAATGCATCGGAAGAATTGTGAGTTGAAAGATGTTGAAGGCCGGACATGGATTTGGCACGCTCGGCGCATTGGCACGCTCGGCCCACGGTGAGGTTGAATCTGCGGAGGAACTTGCGAGAACACTGGCGAAGAAGAGAACCTTGAACTGGTTCGTCCGTGGTTAAGAGCTCACATCCTGCACCAGATGGGTGAGGGCATGTTGTTAAACCATGTGAAACCTGATGCTTCTCAAATCTCGCTGGCCTTCTGATTTATATCAAGATATGTTTCTCTCAGTCTACGTTTGAAGCAACCAGTGGCCCTGAAAATTCAAAATATGATAGAAGGTGTTTTCTTGACCCTCAACCAAATGGGCGGTGTTGACCAGGATATCTAATTAAGGTGTCGATGCAGTCATGTCGACAGAGCGAGTCTGACCTGCGCCACAGCGCTGCATGTCATTTGAAGCCAACGGGTTGCGTCTCACCAGCGGTTGTGATGCTCCTTGCAGGGAGGAGTTTCACCCACAGTGTTTCTTCATCCAGGGCGGTTTTGTCTGTTTTTTCATCATTCGTCTGTAACAATGCCTTCTGAAGTCACGGCATGGAATCAACAATCACCTGGTGATGGAAGGGCGGCTGGACATCAAGGTCATACTGTTTACGGCTCCTCGTTGAGGCCTGAAGCCCTTAAAGCCTCAAAGCCAAGTGACCTTGTGCCACCTTCATGATCTAAAGAGAGAGAGGGAGAGAGTTTCTTTATTGCAAAATATGACAATTTAGATTTTACTGTAGATATTTGCAAACTGTTGCCGGTGGAATCAGCAAGACACATGTTTCATCATGTTTCTAATCGTTATTTGATGTGGCTCAGACTTAAACTTGGGACCAGAACAAAAATACGAGACAGCACCGCCCACTGCAGCAAGCCCACTGCAGCAAGCCCGCTCTAAATCTTGTGCGAAAGCGCAGTTGACTTCGTGCGTCCGATCTGAGGCACAACCGGACTCCCACACTGGATATCATATCAGATATGTCTATCTTATCTCCTCTCCGTTGAACGGCTCTCATTCAAGCGCTCGTGTTTTTTTGACTGCAAAGGAAGGCAAAGAAAGTCACCGGAACGAGATCATATTCTGCCATTCCTCAGGCCTTTGGAACAGGAGAGCAAATAAAAATAGTATATACACATAATATATATAATATACATATTATATGTATATATATATACATAGATAATATCAGAATAGAAAATTCGGTTGGTTGAGAATATAACTCAAAAGTCAAATATTTGGGGATGTTGTGCCTTTGGCAACAGCAGTTGGACCTTCGTACTCACGGGTTGCAAATTTTCAACCACCATTCTAGCGAGCAGAGACGACCTTGCTGTCCTTCCAAAATTGCTGATGCAGAGCACATATGGGCTGCTCGACATGTCGGAGCAGCCTTTACATGAGGAATTCTTGGCATTGCAATTCGAAAAAGCTTGGGGGTATTTGTCGTGATATTTTGTAATATATTATATTAACATTAACATTATAACATAATATTTGTGATCCTGAGATCGTGTATGGGTCTTCAACGGCAGCATCAGCCAGGTCGTAAGTTTGTACACTGGCCAAGGGTGTTGGCCGCCACGAGGCGTGCTCGCCACGTGACCGCTGCTGGACGCTGTCACTGGAAGGTCCATGTTCGGAACATGTTCAACACAGGAATGCAAAAGTTGCTCAGTCGAGGTCCTCGATGTGGTTTGCAGCTAGCATCAGTCAAGATTAGTAGTTCTAACTCGGCTCCAACCAACGTAATTTCTTTGTCTCAACTCAAGGGGCTACATTAAGAGACATTGGAATTGAGATCCTTTTTCTTCTTTAAGGATGCACGCGTGCCAAAAACTGTTGAACTTTGTTTAGCAACATCTATGAGGCAATCTTCAGAGTGTAATGCGCTGGCAGAAAAGCAGCGGTCACGCCAAAGTGGGTTGGCATGAGTAGCGCACCTTCTTCTAAGGGTTTCACACAGTTTCGCATGCAGACGTTGAGCTGCCACAATAAGATTAATAACTTTTCTGCAAGGAGAAACATGACATCTATTGAAATGTAGCTTTCCTGACGCTGCTGATGTTCGGAGTGAGCTCTTTGGAAGAGGGTCACCTCGTGATCATCCGTGTCAGTGGCCGCCGTGGCCGCGCTTTGCAAAGCCCTGTTTTCGCGACCACAAAGGGCGTTTCACCAGACAGCCAGCTTCCCAAAGGTAGCGGAGAAAAAGATTTGCCGATGACTCAATTGACGGCCATCAGACTTGCCACTTGACCATCTTGACCATCTTGACCATCTTGACCATCTTGACCTCCCACAAACAAACCACCGATATTGGAACTGATGCAATCCACTGGAGAAGCCGAAGAAACCGCGGAATTTTTGAGTCTTTGACATCAGCGGTTGAAGCTGAAGGGCTGGAACCACTGTCCAAGTGTAGTTAAATCATGTTAAATCTGTTTACACTATATTACTATCGGGTTTTTGAGATGGTTTAAGGGTACGTTAGAGTATGTCCTTCCATCCTCCGTCTTCTTCATGTCTGATCAACTGCTACCATTGACTACGGGCTGTGGAAGAGCTGCTCCAAGGGAGAAGGGGCCCTGATCCGCCCAGTTCCAGGCTCTGGTGGAAGTGGCTGTGTCCAAGAATCGGATTGCGGCCGTGTCGCTGCCCAAATCATGCTGACTGCTGACCCATTCGACATCATTCAACATCATTCAACCAGTGTCTGATGTGTCTGTTTTTCTCGCAATTTTTGTCGAAGTCATGGGGAGACGGGCAGATTGCGGTGGAAATGACATTGCTTGATACAGGTCATGTTCAATCGACTCAGCCAAGGCTGCGGGACGGGCAGCTTCTGGTTTGGCGGGAGAGCCAAGGCTTCCTGACCCATGCGGGGTTTGCGCATGGACCTTCTTTGAACGTCCTTTGAATGCCAGGGTCAGGCTCTGCTTCAGCCTGATGCAGCCAGAGTGTGCAAGACACTGCACACGCTTCCACAACAATTCCTCACCAGAACGCTGGTCATTTGAAGAACCTCCATTCATGAACCAACACTAACTTGCTGCAACTTGCTTTGCAGATGAGAAACCTTTGAAATTCCACGGAATCTTGCATGATTCTTGAGATTTTGCATGATTTTGCGCCTCTTCCGGGCTGAACACTTGTGGCAGGTCAGCTAGTGGAAGAAGTGGGGTGCTCAATCGGGCCAGTGGCTTTCATGGAGTTACTGCGTGTTGCATCGCGGTCAATCGAAGCGACGGGCAAAGTCCTTGTCGGAACAAGGCACATCGCTGAACAGCTTTCTATGCCTTGCATTCTTCATAGTGTTCAACTTCCTGAATGTATTTGCTGGTGAAAATCTCGTGAATTTGCAGTGTATCTCACATCTTCCACTTTGCATTCAGGTCAGGGATATTTTTTGGAATATCACTTGGCAGAATGTAAAACATGCAGGTAGGGGCTCTTTTCCTGAATCTTGACAGCAGCAGAACCGTAAGCCCTAGGCTTTCTTAGCAGTTCTAAACACGAGAAGGTCTATTCTCCGAAGAATTAGGCTTGTAGTTGCTTTGCCACAAGGCACTTTGTATTTCCGTGTCTTAAGTGCAGAGAAAACAAACAAGAACCCAGCTGACATTTCAGAGTACCTTGGAGCCTTTTTTGACTTTGATTGTTACTAGTACAGTGCCTCAGCATTCCAGCCCTTCAAGTTCTGAATGCTTTGTGAAACCGTAGTCTTACTACAGATGGTTGCAACAGACGCTTTAGCAATCTCAGGTGCGAATCCTTTTTCCCGAGCCTCCTTCGATAGCTTGGTGTGTGGAGACCCTGCCGTGTGACTTCTTGATGCTGAAGCAAACCTTAGTGATCCTGAGTGTCAAAGCAAAACTTGGCAGGTCAATTGAGGTGTTTCTCAAATAGACAAACTCATACACATCTGCCACCAACTCCCTGTGACTGTTCCAAGGTCCAGATGAAAAGCACATGCTTTGCTGTAGAAGGTGCAGCAGAAGGGAGTATTTTTAAAAGGATGTGTGTGTGTGTCACACACACACACGTTGTCCAAACCCTTCTGATTGCCAACTTTCAAGAGTGGTGCTTTGAAAAGTGCACAGCCACTGATTTTCGATCCTGCCTAGGCATGCGGAGAGTTTTCTCTTCCTACTTGAAGGCTTGACGCAGGGTCTAGGACTCAGCACTGCAGCAACGCCAAATCTGATGGCTTCAAATTTCAATCACCTGAAACAAACTTTGAGTCGGGAAATCCTAACCTCCTAGGATGGAGAAATCCCTGGCTTTCTGGCTAGACACCAGTGGTCACCAGCACGTACCCCTGGCACACTTTTTCCAGCTCCAACTTCGCTCTGCCGAGGAAGTTGCCTTGACTGCATGGGTGAGGTGCGCTCGTTTTCCTGTGAGGCCAGGACCACAGCCAAGAATTCTCGGATGTTTTTTGAATTATTTCATAATAATATTCCATATACTGTACTCTTTCACAAACTGCTGTATGAAAGTTACACATATATCATATATGATATATGTTTCTGCTGATCCTTTTCTGATGCGTCTCTGCAGATTTGGCTGATACTTTGCATCCAAGCAATGTGGGTGCGTCGATAATCCAAATGATGAGGTCAAGGGTCCGGACGCTCTTTTCATCGCGGGGGAGCTTGGACCAATATAACTTCAGTACCAGCCGCCGGAGTTAGAGGAAAGATAAGTACCATGTATCTTCAACATCCATTGATGTGCACAGTTTGCACTTTCATTCAGGGGTCAGCTACCCAGCCACCTTCGCAAACACCCAGCCCAACCACTGTGGCTGATGACTACTGACAACGCTCAGACCTCTGCTGCCTTTGCGACAGCTGGTGATTTTTTCGCTGCCGCATGGGAGGGACAAAAGGAGCTGGTAGACGGTTCTGGAAAGTCATCAAATCATTTGCAACATGCAATCGTTTTCAGACATTTCATTTTTTCAATTGTTCTCATATGTTTTCATGAATTGTCATATGTTTTTGTATGTTGTCACATGTTTTTAGCTGCGATTCTCCTTTTCAATGAGCCAGAGTCCCAACACACTTTGAGTAGATTGACAAATGGCATCAGAGGTGTTTCTTCATGGGAATGAATCTGGCAACACAGGGCCGTGCAAGACATCGTCCAGCATGGATTTTCTTCTTTGTGGAAGGCATAGATTCGGGGGACTGGTTCATGCACAAGCGTTCCCTCCGGGTTGGTGGTTTGAACCATCAAAAAGATGAGTCCTTTTGGATCATCATCCCAATCAGGGGTAAAATAAGACAGACATATCAAAACATGATATATATATATATATCATATATATAACCGCTACGCACCCTTGGCTTTTCGCATCATGATTTCGGGCCAGGAGTCCTCTTTGTCAATGTGGCGTTGGAACCCTGCAGTGCCTGTGCTCGCGACCGTGCCGCGTGTCTCCCTGGCCAGCTCGATTCATTTGTCTGGCAAGGTGCCCTACAGTGGCACTGCATCAATCTTTTTTAGATTTTTCCTTTGCGGGGTAGCTTTTAATATCTTTTTATGCTTTCACTTTTCATTGTCCCTCCACTTCCGTCTCCTTTGCGGGGCTGTATTGCCCTCCATGCCTGTGCTTGTTTCTTTTTTTGTGCTAGCCGGCTAGCTTTTTCGCCTTGTCGTTCTCGTTTGGGACACCCTTGCATGGGGTGCCGGGTTGATGGTTAGGTGACTGCCCTGAGCCAAGTTGTGATGACACTTGTAGTCTTCGAACGGTGTGTTGATGCCGATGGCCACCTCCTGACTGGTAGAGTTCCCAGTCTCGGTCCTCTCCCATGGGGTGGCACGAATTAACGGAGCAGGTCTCAAAGCTTTGCTTCTCCAGTTCAGAAGCTGGGCAAGAACTGCATCTTGGCAGATCTCGGCCATCATGATTAGCAATTTGGTTAGCTGTCAGAGTTCGATGTGATAGCCGCTAGCATCCCCCCATGCATATAAAAATGATTATAAAGTCTTCTGAACTTCTTTTGGATAGGGGAACAGAAGATTCAGTCGTTTGAAGCAGACGGGAGCAGTTGAGGCTTGTGCTTTGCGCAAGCGAAATGCGCATCTTTGCATTCAATGAAGCTTATCTGTTCTGGGCCACATGGGTCACAGTGTCTGTTTTTCCTTCGACGGTGACAAGCCTCAGGCAGAAATAAGTGAGGGCAAAGAGTATGAAATGGTTCGAAAGGTAGAGCGATTGAGTATTGTGGGGTACAATGGGTACATAAATTAGGTGAAGCAGACCCTGCATGGGTACACATTTTGTGCAAGAAGGGTGATTCGTTAGGCTACAATAGAAAGAAGTAGACCTGGGATCCTTCTGACGTTTTAGCCAAGGTGACTCCAACCTAAACATTCTTCTCCGATTCTCTGAACATACACAGCGTCATGTACCAGATATGGTTTGGAAGGCACATGGATAGGTGGTCTTCTGATAGTCTTGAAGCAAGAGTTTCACGGGCAAAACAAGGTAGGTGCATAAATATCAACAAGACAAATTTAGTATACTTGTTCCCAGTCGGGATTTATGTACAACAAGTTGAGAGAAGCATCAATAAATCAATATGCAACAGTTTGTCTTCAAATGGTCCAAACATGGCCAGCAACACACCACAGGGGTAAGAGTCCTTTGGGGATCTGTGCAGCTTTCAATTCACGATGTGAGTAGAACAACCATTTGTAGAAGATATTATCAGTCAAGAGTGCAATCGGCTGAGCAAAGGGCAGAAACCAGACAAACTCCGTTTGTGCTTTTAAGTCCAAAGGAGTCTTTTTTGGGGACAGATTTGATGAGATTGTTTGGGATACCACTCTTAGATTGGAACATGGAGACAAAGCTTAGATACAGGTCAATGAACAGTTGCCAATTTCCCTTCTGCTAGTCAACATTGAGAGGCTTGTTCTCTTGCAAATTGTGCGGATTTGTATCGTTTCCTCCCTTGGCGATGCTGCTATCCAAGGACATTGATTTGGTCTTGATGCCGAAGCGGGTGTTGAGCTTTGGCGCACCCAGCGTGGCCGATATGACAAGCGCTGGGTTGCTAGTGGGCAAGGGCAGAAAATTGGCCTATGTGTCGCTGGGTGATGCGTGACTCTGCAGGATTTAGGCTGGTGGTCTTGGGACAATCCTTGTGCAGAGGAGAGCACATGTCCAGGAATAAAACCCGTAGAATCCGTTTGTGTTGGGTTCAGTCCACAGTTGCCTTCTTGGGTTGCAATAGCTAGGCGTGGTGTTTTGATGAAAAGGCCTTGAGCTGTTTTGAGCTGAGTTTGTATGGCAATCTCTGCTCAGGTCTTTCAGCTTCCACGCCACGTTGCCCTCGCCCGTGGCGCAGCTGGCACTGGGCGGAGCTTGCCCCACAGGGCCAGTGCTGGCACAACGTGGAGCTGGGAGGCGTGGGGGGCGCACTGATTTGTTTCGGATGGCGGGCATTTTTCCTGGCAACTTGTGGGGCAACCAGTCCTGAAATTGTCATGCTAATCTGGTAGAGTTTGATTTGGCCCATGCCGCTTGAAGCAGGTGCTATTTCCTTGCCATCGAACCGTTTCTTACGAAGGAGATGGCTAGATTCTTGCGTCAGAGTTGCGTGGCAGATAGTTTCACAGCTTTGACCAGCTCGAAATACAGCTGTCGCATGCAGTTTTAGAATCCACAGAACTGCCATGGTTCGGGTGACAGCGTTATTCCAATGGCTGGACCTCTTGGCCGTTGTGGGTAGCACTGTGTGCACAGCTGGTCTGTTGTGGGTAGATGAGGCTATCTGAAATACTGGGAGCGTTCGATGGCGCAGCTCCAGCGTAGCTGTGGCACCTTGTCTAAGAGACTGGCACCAACATATCTGACATACTGACACACCTCACCTTTGCCCACGGAGAATTAATGAGAACAGGTTGTCATGGCTCTGTTTTCTAATGTATTTCCAATCGCTTGAATGTACGCTTTGCTCGCTTTTTGGCTAAGAAGGATTTCTGTCATTTTGGATTTGATTTGCTGGGTATAATTTTGCAGCGTGCGCATGAAGAGCGTGTTCTGGACGAAGGGAAGAACACTCTTTGTAAGCAACGTATTGCTGTCATTGAACTCTTCTTCTTTGCACCAGAAGTCCTGGCTGTTGCGAGCCAAGCCGAGGAAAGCAAATTGCTGGCAAGCTCAAAGCCACTGCTTATCCCAACGAGCAGAGCTCTTCGCAGACGGAGGCACAGAGTTTCCCTGCTGGATGCTTCTGAATATACGTTTGGTCGGTCGTGAACATTCCGGATAGTTTCCTTCGCCGCATCCTCAATGGAATTATTTCTACCAGCCACTTCTCAAATTGACCAAGCCCCTGTGGATCCTCTCAACCACAGGATTTTCCGCGATGCCCTTGGGATTTCATTATGGACTCCTGTTCAGAGGTCCAACCAATCCTCATGATCCTACATGATGATTGACGTCGTCAAACTGATAGATACTGATGTCCATACTTGGTGTCGGGGTTTGAGAGACAAACTGAATTTCAGCTACACAAGTCTTGTGAGCAGCACCATTTTCTCAATTGCCTTGAAACCATTTCTGGACATAGTGACATCACCAACGGGTGCCAACCTCTGAGTGATGCAGGTTCGACGATTTATGATCCCCAAGTGACCCCGGTCAAATCTGTCAAGTTGATCATTTGGTCCTTTCTTGGTCCTGATCGGGTGCCGCTATTTAGATTCCTTAGCGTCATCGTTGGCCAGGTGATTCAACGACTCCTTCGGGAGGTTCAAAGTGCGAAGAGATTGGGGGCAGATGCCGGTAGCAGGTTATCCAATGTGAGTCCTTTGGCCGTTGTTCAAGTTGTTCAAATATTACTTTTGAATCCTTAGCCGGATGCCAAAGTTTATAGCGACAGCTTGGTTTGTCCCGCAGAAGTTGGCGTTTGGAGGGCTGTATTGAATGTTGACATTTGCTCCCACTGTTTTGAGACTCCGGGCAGAATTCATGGCCTTTGATGCCCTCCAATGGAAAGTCGGAAAGTGCGGTGCAGGTGCAAGGCTTGCAGACCCAGGTCCAAGGAATCCAGTGGGCATCTGAGTTTTGCTTTCAGCGTGCTGTTCATACGATTCATACTGCATTCATACTGTTCATTTTCTTATGCTTATTCTGGTCGCTTCGCGACAACAGCCCGCACCGGAAGTGCTTGCTCTGGCTTTTGGGATAGGTGCATCTAATTATGCTGAGTCTAATTTGAAGTAGGTAGCCAGCTCAGTTGGTTAGTTGGTAGGTAGGCAACAACGATAGACCATGATATGTGCGCACGCACACATATCATATCATATCATATCATATCATATCATATCATGTCATATCATATCACACCACACCATACCATATCATATCATATCATATCATATCATATCGTATCGTATCGTATCATATCATATCATATCATATCATATATATATATATATCTAGGAAGCATTAGAAAGCTAGATACCGAAAGTAGATGTTTACCTGACTTGACGGAGCGACAGCTCACTCAACTGAGAAGAGGGCATCAATGAGCAGACAAGCAGATGGATGGAGCTATGCGGTAAACAACGGTCAATACCTCGCTTAGGCCTACGTTTTGGCTCGCTTAGGCCTACATCACAGATAAAGGATTATATTTGCAATAGAAAGATATATATATATATATATATCGATATATCCGAACATGATTTCGACAGACTTGCACAAGTGGATTAGAGATGATCATTGGGACATTGTGATTAAGTCATATACTTACAAATGCATTCTATGCTCACTCACAGGTGGACTAGAGACTCTTTCTAGATTTCCTAGTTGTTCCCACTGTCCCCAGTCCCCAATTCCCCCCAAAAAATAAACCCTAAAGGTGTGTAGCCAATGGACTCCAATATGCACTGTCCCCACTCCCAAGCCCCCCCTAAATATAAACCCTAAAGGTTTGAATCCACATCCAAGATTGTCGGCCTAAGTGATCCAAAAAGTCGTCCTAAATGATCTGGACCCCTTTCATAAAAATGAAGATACGTGTAGGCAGTAGCAGTAGACCATCAGTGGTTCTGCATCAAACGAAAACTCGAGCAACATGCAGTTTCCACATTCCCAGGTTGAGCCTTGAGTCTTCATCGGGTCAGGGTATCTCAGATCTCATGTGAGCAGGGGTGCTTAGTAGACTGCGACATTCGTTTAGCGTTATGGTATACAATAGACTACAATAGTACAAAAATCTGTATAGATTATTCTTGATACAATTCTTGTTAAAGTGCCATAAAGTGCCATAAAGTGCCACAAAGTGCCACATCCAACAGTCCTGAAGTCGACCTTTCTGCGCAGGTGGAGATCAGCTTGGTCTGGGTCAGGTGAAGCACTGAGCCTGGGATGGGGGATGGGAATCCCATGGCCCGTGGTGTGGGGCTGTGCTTTTGCCCGCTAAATTTCTTGTCCTTATGGATTACAATGTTAGATGTTGAATACTGGATGTTCGATGACATTGGTCCATTGGTCCATTGGTCCATTGTCTTGATCTCGACTCACACAGCACCTGTGGAATCCGGCTCCAACTGGCCGAGGCCCTGGAGTCTCTGGTGCCGCAGCTTGTACAGAAGGCTGGGACCACCTCTACTGTCTGTCAGCTGAGTGACATGACACCTAGACAGCCAAGGTCCATTTTTGGTCAAAATGGACCAATTGCATTTGTTTTTGCCTGTTTCTTTAGGCAAACATTACGCCTCTTCCTAATTTTTGAGGCTTTATTTGGATCCATTTTCTAGAAATAGGATTATTTTGATGATGGAGTCACCAGTTGAGTAGGTAATTGGTTGACAGAGTCACCAGTTCGGTCTTGGCTCCACTTCACCTCTGTGCTCCAGCTGGGAGAACGCCTCGCCGATCCTGAGGCAGGGGCGATGTTTTTCAGGTGGTACCCATGGATTCCATGGATTCCATGGATTCCATGGATTCCATGGATTCCATGGATGGAGCACTCTACCAATTGCAATCTGCGAATGCCTCCTGTGGGCCTTGGGTTGATATGTGCTTGCTCCATTCCTCGCTTTCAGGGCTTCTCAAAATGTATCTTGAGAGTTCCTCTGGGATTTGACCCTTTATCCAGGTTTATCCATGTTTATCCCAGTACCCTGAACTTGAATCAACTTGCCACTTTTCCGGGTCATGACATGATTAGCATGCTCCATCCGCGCCGAGAAGTTGTTGCTTTGACCATCCGCCTGGTGATTTTTGTGGAGGATGGTCAGCTCTTTCACGAACGATTCCTGGCAGCCTTCCCGGTGCAGGTGCGGAGTAGCTGTGAGGCCATCCTTCTTGGAACCGCAACTGTATATTTCAGATATTGGGAGAATCTCCTCTGGATTGTATAATCTGGATTTATCCGGAATTGAATTTCGTCATACAAAGGACACAAAGGCACCCAGAATCAATTAGCAAAGATGCTGCAGGGAGACGATTCTATGGATGAGCTGCATCGAGAGCTTCAGGGCTTCTCTGACCGGTGGGGATGCCTGTAATCACGCAGAGTATATAGAGCATTGGGTTCCCCTGTGTTGAGGTTAGAGTGGCAGAGCAACACCAGAGACACACGATGACACAAGCATTTATTTCTGCAAGAAGACTCATACCGTCAGAGAGGAACACTTATTTCTTCAAGCTAGGGAGAATGGTGGATACTCAGATGGGGCAAGCAGATTCCAACTCAATGCAGCTTTAGATTGAAGCCACCTGTGTTTCACAGTGATCCGACGTAAACAGCAACGCAGCAGTTCAACTACTGTAAATCAGAGCAATCACGGCAGTTCAAACGGACCACTCAGAATATTGGCGGGAGGACCCAAGCTACTTGTATTGACCTCCTTTCTTTCGACTCGTTTGATCAGGCTTGTCACCCATCTGGATCCTTGAAGCCTTTTGCAAGTACTATCCTCTATCTGATCCCCTACAAAAAAACACTCCTGCTCCGACTGCCACACACTCACTGCACACCTGTCAAAAATGCGGCAACGAGTTGAATTGAATTGAGATGATTGAGTGCTCATCAACCCACAAGATTTTCATTTCTAGGACTCCGACACATGGATTTTGAAGTTCCAGTGTAGAATATGTAGAATGAGGCTCAAAAATCTTCTCCAAGAGCAGCTGTCAAAGAGATTGCCGCAGTGTTGCGAACAGCCATGGCCTGAGGATTCTGGTGGAATCTGATGGATTAGTGTCGATTAGTGCAAACATCTCCACGTTGTTTGATACATCTCATTACATCTCATTACATCTCCAAAGACCAATTTGCCAATTGCTATGTAACTGAGAGTGTTCCCACTTGTGGGGAAGTTTAGATTGAGGCCCGCTGTAAAGATCTATAAAGAACGTACCGTTATATTCAATGTAACTGTTCTAAGTTATGGCATTGTTTTGTGGATGGCTTGCCTATCTTGGAGGCTTACAAGACTGATGTGGAACATTTGTGTCGTTGATTGCTTGGGTTGTGATGTGAAAATCCTTTGTTTTGCCAAACTGGTTCCAGTGCAGGTACCAACAAAATTCACCCTGCAAATTCGCCCCTTAGGTGGCGACCCAGCATCTGGCAGTGTGGGGAGATCTTGACGAATGTCCAGCTGCCTTGATTGGCTGCTGATTGTATTGGTAGACTCGGTAGACTTGCCTAGGATGAGACTAGTTGGCCACTTTTCAGTGCCCTAAGCGTGGATCCTTGCCTGCCATTCCTTCAAATGAAATCAGGGTGCCAGACTGGGAAGACATTTGACTTTGGGAAACCTTACAGTGGCCTTTCAGATTTTGGACACGGGTTTTGTGACACGTTCTACGGCTGGAGTGTCCGGCTGCTTCACCAGGCCTTAGATGAAGCTGTGATAAAAGCTCCCGCCACCATGGCATCAAGTGAGGCAAAGCAGGCCACATCTGCTGATTGCATATGTTGCCGTCCAGTTTCTTCTCCTTCCAGAAGTAAAAGGTCTTCATAGATGTCATAGATGGTTGCCCAGCTTGAGGTCTTCACCGAGAATTGCAGAAGTTGGGCAAAGTCGCATGGAGTTTGTCAGATTTGGTTGGGTAAATCATGGTAAATCTGAGAGATTTTACATTAGTTTCCAGCCTTGAAACTTTGCTGCGGTATTTGCAGGGTTCATCCCCAGAACATGGCAGGCAGTGCAGCGCGTCCACGGCAGTGCTCAAAAAGCATTCAGCTGCACCGAGGAATTGCGGCAGGACCGGTGACAACTTTGTGTGTCACATAGCAGAAATTAGATCCTCTTGATCCTCTTGATCCTCTTGACTTGACAGCTGTTTCAACCATCCCAAATGCATAAATGCATATTGTAGACATACTATGATAGTTAATAATTTACATTTCATATAACCATATATAAGTAAATAGAATCATGCAGAAGTATATGTGATTATAGATATGGCCAGCCGTATAGATGTGTATGTATGTATGTCTGTCTGTCTGTCTGTATGTATGTATGTATGTATGCATGCATGCATGTATGCATGTATGTATGTATGTATAGCCCTATAGATGTGTATATATATATAATATATAGATACACGTATATTCAATTCTGATCATGGATGATGTTGCTTGCCAATAAGCTTGCAGGCTACCAGGGAAGCCCTCTCTGGTATTGTGAGAGAATACAAGCAGGCCGAGGCTGTCAGGGGGTGCATATGTGATGAGTCGTGAGTATAGAACTGACAAGAGGGAGGAGTTGCGTGGTTTCTGCCATTTGGTTTGCAAGCTTGAACCTGTTCCCCCCAATTCCCCTCAGCTGTTGCTGCACCTTCCAGACCTATGAGACATTACGACACTTACATCATCGCACAGGGACCAGTCACTGTCTGCAGCACCGTCCGTCTCATCCACTGACTTCCAGAGCACCACTACAGGGGTTCTCAGAGATATGCAAGACCTAGGCAGCTGCTCCGGTCACTGGCCGCGTGCCGCAGCTGAAGGGGTGCGTGAGCTCAGTTGAGCATCAATTCCGAAGCTGTCATGAAGGCTTTGTGATTTGATGACTTACGGAGGAAAGCCCTTTGGATGCCACGCTGACCGAGGTTACGCCAATGCGCCTTACCCCTGCAAGAATCGTCGGAGCCTGATGGGCTGATTGGTCGGGCCATCAGGGTGTGTATGTCCGGTTTTCACAAGACACGATTACATGATATTACATAGATCTATGATGATCCATGTAGCTGTGATTGGAAGAGCCATTCATGTCTCAAAGCAGTCATAGTGTCATAGAGTATGGCATAGGATGGCATTCCATAGCCAGCAACTGGAGTCGAACATATATATATATATATAAATATAAATAAATAAATATATATATAGGGTATGTACATATAGATGGATAGATTGGATGGATGGATGGATGGATGGATAGATAGATAGATAGATATAGATAATATAATATGTATATATATATAGATCTCGATCGACTCCTGAACCAAATCTGTGCCCTTTATGATCAAATGGGTCGGAGGACGCAATTTCCAGGTCTAGAAAGTCAATGCGGCAGCCTCTCAGCATTTGCCATGGTGAGCTCGGCCATGGCGGCACAAATGGAGTATGAATCTGTCGCAGTCGGTGCCTAGGCTTGAGCAGTTGGCTCGCGAGGCTGGAAGGGTTGAAGCGAGGGGATGGTTCGCTTGGTGAAAACTGGGCACAGTGCCGCAGCTGCCTGGAAATCCTGAAAACTACGTAGGTGAATTTTTGAGAATGGCAGCCATACCACAGCCTAATGCAAGGTGAAAGAGACTCAAGAAAGCCTGCACAGATTGGCTGAGGAGCCAGGCAGGGCTGAAATTCTGGTTCATTGATGTCGACTTGTTTGCGAGTCTAGGTTTCTGTTCTGTCACGGGTACCCTCGAACAGTAGCGCACCGTGAATCATAATTATTGGCGATCCCGCCTGGTTCTAACCCCTATGGTCTTTGCACCTGGCTTCCATTTTGGCACTCTCTTTATCGAATCACAGCAGAGTGTGTCGACAGCAGCAGCGGCAGAGAATTATTGCTGCATTGGGTTTTGGTGTCTTGAATATTCTTAGAGCACAATCAGAGCCTACAGACGAATCACCTCGGCGGAAACTTCGCTGACAGAGTGCGGTGGTATTGTGTCTTGAAGCCTTTGGACATTTTGGAAGAAACCGTTTCTACTCTTGGTTGGTTTATGTTCCGGGCCACTAGATGCACGCCCCAGCCCGGACGATCGCACATGGAAACAAAAGAAGCATAATTGAGTATGGAATAGATGTGAAGCATCTTTGAGTCATTGAGGCTAGGTTTCTTGGACTTTCTCCAGTTTTGAGGGCAGTTGGGCGATTGAGAGTTTTGGTTCTAGGGTTTCCATCAGTTTCCCAGTTTCTTGGAGGTGTTTGAAAGGCAGTTTTGGAGTTAGGGATTTTACACATACGGACTTTGCACGAAACAGTGCATGGGTAAAATCAAGCGGTATATGTTTGGCATGAAGTGCGAAATCTGAGCTGGAAGGCGACGCAAAAGAAGTGAATGGGCATGGTATCTCGCCATGAAGCTCTGCAGACGTGGTGGAGGCGAAACAAATTATGACTTGGCATCTATGTTCTGCTTCATTATGACAGGCATAACAATGACAAACAAGGCATAACATGATCAAAACAACCTCTGCCTGGGTTTGCTTGCAAGATGTGAGAACTCTTTTCAGGCAAGGTCATCAGACAAGAAGAGTACATTGCGGGTGCCCACGAGGAAAATTAACCCACTCGCTCCACTCGCTCCACTCGCCCCACCCGCTCCACTCGCCCCACCCGCCCCACTCGACCTCGACCACTCGACCCACTCGACCCAGTTGCCGGGGGATGGGGGGTAAGCAGAGCAAGCAGGGCAAGCGGGGCCTAGCGGCCCCGCCGGGCAACCACATTGGAATAGTAAGCACACAGACTCACAGTGACACCCTTGCATCCGCGTGGTCCAGTGGTGAAGCTTTCTTGGCAGTTGGCAGGTCAAAACTTATTCGTGCTGCGACAGCTGTACGAACGTGGAATCTACTAGGTCGGGTCCACATTCCAGTGTATTTAGGATGCCCCTGATGCTTCCTAGTCACTAGTCCATGCTCAGTTGAGCGTGATCATCCAGATTGAAAGTTGGCTCTAGCTTTTGCCTTTGTTCCCATTCAGCAGTGCAGGCTGCTTGCGGCCCTGTGAACGATAAGAAGATGCGGGTCAATGGAGACAGGCCAATGATTTTTGGGGCAGCCCTGGGGGGTTTGAAGCCTTTGTTGAGAGACTGAATCGACAATCGAGACCTGTATTCAAGTGGACATGGCAGGTGCTGTGAAAACTTCCGGCCATGGTGCTGGGACCAGTAGCGCGCCTGAGTCGTAAAAAGGGCGTGGACTTTCTAGCAGGTTTCTTTCATCAAGTCACGAAAGCTAGCTTCTGCTAGCTGAAGTCCCTCTTGCTTTGGCAAGGCATTGGTGGGGCTCGAATCTCCAATCGCATGAAACTTCATACTTACTGTAACTACCCCCCCCTCCCCGGCTAGCTGGTTCACAAGCAGCTTGGCTGTGGCTCAATCCCCCCGGGGGCCACCGTCGGCATGTCCCCACCAGCAGCAAATTCGGCAGCATCCGCATCCTCAGCATCATTGTGTTTTCATGCAAAACTCATGCAAAACTCCCTACCCAGCTAGTTTTCGTCCCTTACCCCCTGGCTCTCAAGTGTGGGGCTAGCGCTAGCTCACAACACCTGATGCATGGCAGTGTATGGAAGTAATTACATTAAGTTACATCAAGTCAGGGAAACTGTGGGTGGATCACCCTCGAAGCTTTCTGAAACAGTCCGCAACAGCATGAATTGATTGGCAAAAGCACACTGAAATCAATCAACTTCACATAACTTCACTGGTTCGGGGGTCGTTTGTGCACGTCAAAAGTGGGTCGTTTGTGCACGTCAGAAGTTGGTCGTCTGTGCACGTTACTTTTGTGTGATTTTGTCATTGTATCTCTGTAACATGATTCTTCTTGTTGCTGTTTATTCTTTACATCATCACACAACTCATCACTGTGTGGGTTTTTTCCTCACATCTCTGTGTGGGGTTTTTGTTTTTAGGCTTGCATTCCGCGCCTTCTCCTTCTCCTCCTCCGTTGTTCCTCCTCTCACTCAACTTCACCCAAGTTCTCTCACACAACGCACACAACTCATCTCACACAACTCCTCTCCTCTCACAACTTAACTTACATAACTCAACTCACACAACTCATCTCACTCAACTCATCTCACACAACTCAACTCACTCAAGAGCTGCATTCGTGGGGCATTTGGTGGAGCTGCTTTCGTGTCCGCGCACTGAACTTCACCCAAGTTCTTTCACACAACTCATCTCACAACTCACACAACTCATCTCACACAACTCCTCTCATCTCACCACTCACACAACTCATCTCACACAACTCAACTCACTCAAGGGCTGCTTTCGTGTAGCATTTGGTGGAGCTGCTTTCGTGTAGCAGGCTCAGCACTGGCTGCTGCTGGAGTTGCTTTCGTGTGGCAGGCGCGAGAGTTTGACTTTCTGCAGGCAGCAGCACGTGGCGCTCCTGGAGCTGCTTCTGCGTGCTATGGGGACTGCCGGCGTGCGCTTGGACTCAACTCATTTCACACAACTCAACTCTTTCAATTCATCTCACACAACTGAACTCACTCAACTCATCTCACTCAGCGTTTCTCACTCAACTTCACTCAACTCATCTGACTTAACTCACCTCACCCAGCTGCCACTCAACTCATCTCACTCAACTCATCTCAACTCATCTCTTTCAACTCATCTCACACAAGTCAACTCACTCAACTCATCGCCCTCCACGCAAATCACTCAACTCATCTCACTCAGCTCATCTCACTCAACTCACCTCACTCAACTCACCTCACTCCACTTCCACTCAACTCCTGGCGCTGAGGGGCTGGCGGTGAATCAGTTCACGACATATTTTAAGCACACGGTGTTGCACTATCATACTCATCTGGTGCTACCTTCGCAGTGCTTCAGATGACAGGCGATCAAGGTGCAGTGCTTTTGTGCGCAGAGGAAAATGAATGCTTTTGTCCCCCCCGCCCCTGCCCAAGACTATGTTCAAGGTGCAGTGCTTCTGATGACAGGCGATCAAGGTGCAGTGCATTTGTGTGCAGAGGAACGTGAACGCTTTTGTCTCCCCCCCACCCCCCAACCAAACCCTAAATGGCTGAGTCAAGTGATGATTTAAATCCATGGATCCCACCCTTGTTCCCAGCATCAATGATGCTTTTGTCCCCCCCCACCCCCCCAACCAAAGCCTAAATGGCTGGTACCCAGCATCAATGTGCGCGGATGACCGCTCTATGTGCGCGGATGACCCGGTTTCTCTGTGCGCGGATGACTCGTTTGCAATGTGCGCAGATGACCCGCTTTCAATGTGCGCAGATGACCCGTTTACCATACGTCCCTTAGCTTCACTTGGCTGCACTTGGCCTCTAGGCTCAGCTTTGTCCGCTTTGTCCGACCAGCGCGCCAGACCATCTTTCACCGTTTGCCAACACATCCCTATTTTGAAATCCGCCAGAACAGCTCTCCAAATTACACCGCGCATTTCCGTAAGTCTATCTTGAACCCATATCCCATGAAAAATCCCGCAAAACCTCAGACCCCAAGATTTCATCTTACACATCCCTGTTTTGAAGTCTGCCCCAACAGCTCTCCAAGTTACACCGGGGATTATCAGATTTGAATTTCATGCCTCCACTCATTTCTGCAAAGCCATCCGCTATGGCCCAACAAAAATAAAGGGCCAGAATCCGGTGCTCCAGTTCTGGGCTTTCAACATCATCAATAATTTGTGAATGAAACCCTTTGCTTGGGTCCAAGGGTTTATGTCGTAAATATTTCAAATTTCTGTGATAAAAATGATATTTGTGTATGAAAACCTTTGAATTGAAGTTCCCCCCTGGATCGCTGCTGAATTACTTGGAAAAATATTTCTGGATGAAAATCAGTGACCCCAGCCTTTCACTAATTCTTATATTGAATATCCAACTTTGGATGAAACCCTGAACTTGACGTTTGGCAAAGCTCTGCCCAAAACAAAAACTAGACGACGGATGGCCCGAGAGCATAGAAGAGCATGTTACTCTCTTGTAAAAGACACTGATGGACTGAAAGGTGATTGATCTCTTTCACTCTTTCTCTCTCTTTCTCTCTTTTTCTCTCTGTTTCTCTATCTTTCTCTGATTATCTACCGACCTACCTACTGATCTATCTGTCTACCTATCTATCTACCTATCTACCTATCTACCTATCTATCTATCCATCTATCCATCTATCTATCTACCTATCTATCTGTCTATCTATCTCTCTATCTATCTCTCCCTTTCATCTGTCTATCTGTCTAGCTGTCTACCTGTCTATCTATCTATCTATCTATCTATCTATCTATCTATCTGTCTACCTGTCGATCTGTGGTGCAGTGTCATTCAGTGTAATGTAGTGTAGTGTAATGTAGTGTGGTGTAGTGGAGTGTGGCGCAATGTAGTGTAGTGGAGTGTAGTGTAGTGTAGTGTAATTTAGTGTAGGGGAGTGTAGTTGTGTAGTTGTAGTTGTAGTTGTAGTTGTAGTGTAATGGAGTGTAGTGTAGTGTAACGTAGTGTAGTGGAGTGTAGTGTAGTGTAGTGTAATGTGATGTAGTGTAGTGTAGTGTAGTGCAGTGTAGTGGAGCGTAGTGTAGTGTAATGTAGTGTAGTGAAGCGAAGCGACATCTGAACCTCCAAAAGTGGTCCGAACCCCTAGTGTTTTGAACATTTTGACTTCCAACTGTGCTTCGCGCCACAACGGCGTGCACTTTTTCGACATCTCAACTTCCAAAAGTCGTCCGACACTGAGGTGTTTTGCACATTTTGACTTCCAAATGTGCTTCGCGCCACAACGGCGTGCTTTTTTTCGACATCTCAACTTCCAAAAGTGGTCCGAAGCTGGTGTGTTTTGTACATTTTGACTTCAAAGTGTGCTTCGCGGCACAACGGCGTGCACTTTTTCGACATCTCAACTTCCAAAAGTGGTCCGAAGCTGGTGTGTTTTGTACATTTTGACTTGAAAATGTTCTTTGCGCCACAATGGCGTGCAATTTTTCATCTCTCATCTGGCCAGCTGGCTCCGCACCCGCCGCTTTAGCAAGCCTACTTTTCGACCCTCCTTAGCCACAAATCATTGGAAAAACAGAGTGAACCGCGACTTTCCTACCTTTTCGCGCATCTGCATCTTCTTTCTTCTGACTCTTTCTCTTCTGATCTTCTCTCTTCTAATCTTTCTCTTCTCTCTGCCTCTGCCCTGCTCTGCTTTTCATCTATCCATATTGTCGGAAGTTTGACTTCTAAACTTCCTTCGATCAAAGACATTGTAGGTGAAAGCTTCATTGAAGATGATGCAGATGATCAGCAGAAAGGAGATAGAAATTCTATGTCAGATTCTAAGCAGAAGCAGACAAAGATAGACACAAAATTTGAGAGACCGACAGAGACAGACAGCAAAGAAACACATACACACACAGACGCACACACAAAGATACAGACACAGACGCACACACACACGGTACACAGACAGACACCACACGCACACACACACAAACAGAACAAAAAGAGGAAGACACATACACGCACACACACACACAGGCACAGACACACACGCACACAAAGAGGAAGACACATACACGCACACACACACACAGGCACAGACACCCACGCACACAAAGAGACAGACACGGGACGCACAAACAGACACGCAGACAGACACCAGGACACACACACACACACACTCACAGCGAAGTCATCGTTGTCGCGGCCACCTCAGCAATCCGAAGGGGGATGAAGTTCGTGACCTAAACATGTTTCTGAGAAATGCTTCTAGGTCTTAGGTCCAGGCAACTATAGCGCAAATACGCAAAAGCAATCATCGGCTTTGTGCACCGTCGACTGTGCGCGAGAAAGCCTCAGACAAATCTTGCTGACTTGTGCTCATTCATTGTGGTGAAGATGTGCATGATCAAGTCTCGAACAGTTTCGGTTGACTTGTATCCGCTACAGCTTTATCTTGAAATGTTACGGAAATACTTCCACAGCGCCGAAGCCAGCGAGACACAGCCGAGATGGACAGCTGTCATGTCCAACGATGTGGGCGCTGCCACCGATGCTTCGACCACTGCCTGATGTCACGCCAGAGGATGTTTCGCCGGTCCCTACGAGTCTAGCGTCCAACATGGTCCCTGAGGACGTCGAGCCCCTGGAGATTGACGACGAGAGCAACGACTTCCTGCCGGTGCCTGCTGCTGTTCGTCCTCAAGCTGAACTACCTCAACCTGCTGAAGAT